GCCGCGCGGTTCAGCCCTGCCACCGCTACCGCAATTAGGAGCCGTCAGGATGAGCACCGCGGCCAGGAGGCAGCAGCGATAACAAATTACACTAAATTAAGCTGAGAATTAAGCCCTGGGCTCTGACCGAGCCTCCCCTCTACAGCCTCTAGGTCTGGGCCGCATTTCCAGGCTGGTGGCCCCAGCGAGAGTGGCCCTAGCTCTGTTTGGTGGCTCTTCTGGGCAGGGAGAAGCTCAGAGGTGGATGAGGGTTGTCCCAAGGGTTGTCTCCAGGCCCAAGAGAGGGAAACGAGCCTGGCCATCCATGAAGGAGATGTCCTAGGGGCGGGATGAGTGACTGGGATGCTCATGGGCAAGGGCACCACAGGTGAGAGTCCGGCCGGAGCCCCAGTCCTTGTCCCTCATCCCTCATTCTCCATCCCTGCCTTTCTGCTCCTTCATCCCTCGCTCCTCATCTCCCTCATCCCAACTTCCACAGCGCCCAGCAACACCCAGCACAGCTCTGGCGTCATTGGCACCAGCGCCGGGTACAGCAAGAGGCCAGCGTGTTCTCTCCACACCTATCAGCCCATAAAATGTGGCAAAGTCCATTATTTTTCCTGTCTTTTTTTTTCCCTTTCTTTTTTAATAAAAGAAAACAATCCTGGCCCTGCGGCGAGCGAGCGTGACTGCTCTTGGAGCATTAATCATTGCTGCAAGTTGGGTTATCACGGCTGTTTATCCGAGCCGCTATTAAAATCCCCGTAAACGCTCCCCTGGCCTCTTCTGCAGCAGATTAAGCACTTGCCTTCRCGGTGCAGATCTTATCGCGGGTCCTTCTCAGCCGAGTCCATGAGGCCGAAGGCAAAACGCCGCTTTTCCAGCCAGGCACGTGGCCGAGCAGCAGCCCCAGCCTGCATCCCGGTGCTCCCGGCTTTATCCTGCCTGGAGGCGGCTGCGAACAACGTCCCCGGGTCCCGCAGAGCCCCGCGGCACCCGGCACATCCCCTCAGTTCTGCAGGCAAATAAACCACTCGGCACCAATAGGTGGTTTTTCCCCCTCATCTCTGAGAGCAGATCCCAGCCCATGGAGCAGGTGGGGAGGATTCAGGGATTCCTGGCGTTGGGAGGAACCAGCCAAGGACTCACAGCCCATCCCTGGATATGGAGCAGCCTGGGCCAGGCCGCTGAGCCCGGCTGTGCCAGGGCTGCCYGTTTCGCAGCCCTGCTGCCTTCAAATATGGGCTTTTCTCCCCCCGTTTTTTAGGAAAAAATGGCAATTCCGCAGGGGCTACTTCCCAGAGCGCCGGCCCTCACCAGCATCAGGGAGGCAGCTGGCAGATTAGCATTTCTTAGTGATAAAATACTTGAGACAGGGGAAAAAATAGGGAAAAACAAACATGGGCAGCTCAGCAAAACAGTGATGTGAAAATCAGGGCAGGCAGAGGGAGGGGAACGTGCCAACACCAGGGGAACAGCAGGAAGGGCAAGAACTGCTGCTTTTGCCCAACAGGTCCCAATCTGGGCTTGTTACAGGGACCAGCTGATGTGGAATAACCTTCAGGTGGTGCCAGGAAGAAACCCGGAGCAGGGAATGGGCTCTGGCTGTGGGGCTGATAGACCAGGAGCTGAAGCTGGGGGTCCCTTTGCTGCATCAATTCAGCTCGCTAGGCAGCAGAAAACTGCCTCGTTCTGTGTATTTTTTTTTCCATTTTTCCCARAATCGCACCCGGTTTTTGCAGCCGGGCGATGTGCGCTGGACTGGGGCACGTGGCCGGGGACACGTGCGGCTGCGTCCCGGCGCTGCCCTCCCGCTCGCGCGCTCCCTGCACGGGCAGCTCCCTGCACGGGACGGCAGGTACCGCAYGGGCAGGTCCCACCGAGCGCTGCTGCTCCGGGCGGCTGTTAAAGAGTAACCACGACGATAACCCCGCGATAGCGCGCAGGGACGACGCACGGCCCCGGCTGCCGCCGCACGTGCTGCCGACTGCGCCTGGCCCCGCTTTGGTGCTCCGGCTCCGTGCTCCGGAGCTCCGGCTTGGTCCTGGTGCTCCGCTGCTCCAGCTCGGTGCTCTGGTGCTCCAGCTCAGTGCTCTGGTGCTCCAGCTTGGCCCGGGAGGCTCTGCTCCTGCCTCGGCTCCTTCCCCATGAGAAGGGAGAGAATTTCATTAGCGCCGCTGGAGACACGGCCGAGGCCCAGGCAGATTTAATAAAGTCATTACGCCTGCGGCAGCGTCTTTAATGAAAGAGCTGCTGACGAATCGCTCTCCGTGCTGCGCTAAGGCCAACGTGCTGGATTTGGTGCCCTTGCRGGAGCCTCTCTGCACCCGTGCGAGGCCACCTTGGCTTGAGGACACCCTTGGCCCAGGGATGCTCTTCCCCTTGGGGATGCTTCCTGTGCTGGAAAAGGCACTGTGCGACGGGGTGCCTGGCACTTCTGGCACAGCAGAGGGACGAGCACCAGCCCAGGCCACCAGCAGCCCCTCCTGGCCCAGCCCGGTGGCTCCTGTGTTGCCTGCTCCCAATTCCACGCTGCAGAAGGCTGGGGGTGACACTGGGCAGCCAGATGCCCATGAATGGCTCTGGGCCAGTGGGGCCAGCAGGACAAGGGGACGCAGCCGGTGGCCGGGATGCCCAGGACGCCTCCTGCCCAGCGCCCCCTCCGAGAGCCCCGGGAAAGCCTCGCGCTGCGGCGCCCGCCCCAGTGTCACCCTTCATCAGAGGCAGGAACTCCAACGCGGTGCTGATCGATCGGCGCTGACAGTTGGGCAGAGCTGCAGGGCAAGAGCCGCCGTGGGCACCCACACGGAGGGAGGAGGAGGAGGAGGGGAGGGTGAAGGCCCCGCTGCGCAGAGGAGGCAGGGGCTGCGGCTGCGTTTGGCCTCCAGCTGCACCTTGGAGGCCAAGAAGGGGATGCAGCAGCGAGGAAAAGCGAGGATGAGGATGGAGACCTCCCTCCTCCTGGGGTGCACAGGGGCTCAGCTCTGCTCTGCTTGGGATGCCCCAAGCCCAGCRACTGCTGCTGGGGCCGCGCGAGGAGCCCAGGGTGCAGCCGCTGCAGGTTCCCAGTCTCTGGGGTTTATTGCAGTTTAATTGCACGGATTAGCACTGCCAGATCATTTCCCGAGAGGCCCCGGAGCAATAAAAGGCGAGTGCAGGTGGCCGCTGCAAGTGTCACCTTCCCCATGGCCTTGGGCGCCCGAGCGCTGCAGACTCTGCCCTGGGAGAGCTGGGCCCAGACTTTGCTCCTGGTGCCCGCCGGAGCCGCAGGGTTTCCCGGGGCCGGGGCTGGGAGGTTTCATCCATGTGGGCGCCAGCTCCGAGGCTGCTCCACTCTGGATGCTGCAGGAACCRCCTCGTTCAGGGCCGTGGACCCAAGGGTGCTCGGTCCCCGCCCGCGGTCCCGCACGTTGCTGCTGACATCTAGTGGCACCGCGTGCCGGAACCACGCGCACGGAGGGGACGTTCTCCAGGAGGGGCCCAGCTGCCGATTGGGGGGCACCCGACGGCACCCAGGGCTCCGAGCAGGGGGGAGGCTGCAGGGTCCCGGTTCCAGGGTGACACCAGTGACACCAGCACGGGGGTTGGGAGCACCCAGGACTCCAAGAGTCACAGCCACCAGGGCTGTCAAATGCCCCTCGGTGCCTCCCCTCATTTTGCACCCCCCGATTTCCCTCCCGTTGTTGCACAGTCGTCCCCTCCACTCCTCCCCCCGACATCCCGGTGTTCCAGCCTCCCACTCCAGGGATGCTGGCGGTGACGGGGGCAGGGGGGCGGGCATGGAGGGAGGGCCCCCCGCCAGCGCCAGCGCCACCGTTGCCGTGCCAACGCGCTGCCCTGTCCCCGGCTCAGCCCTGTCCCTGCTCAGATCCCGCGGGCGCAGCRGCCGGGCGAGCGCGGCAGCACCAGCAGCACCCAGGTAGGTCAGGACACCCCCAGCAGCCCAAAACCCAGATGCCCCCCTCCCCAAATCCCCCCCTCCCCAAATCCCCCCATCCCCAAATCCTCCTATCGCCTGATCCCATCTCCACATCCCCCCATCCCAAGTTCCCTTATCCCCAAATCCTCCCCTCTCCAAACCCCCCAACCTCAAACCCCCCAACCCCAAACACCCCCATCCCCAAATCCTTCCCTGAAAAGATGCCTTTCCCTCCAAAGCCTTTGCAGGAGGTAAATCCCAGCCAAGCAGAGCAGCGGTGACGAGSGGAGAGGGACATGGGGTGCAGGGGTCCCATGGGACTGGGGGGGTGCCCAGGACACTCCTGGCCACCCCCTGTCAGAAAACCTCCCACCGGGAAGAGATGGGACCGGGGCCGTATCCATTGGGATGGAGGGAGGTGCTGGCCAGGACAGGAACCTGCCAATACTTCCCAGCCCCAAAACCCGCCAGGAAGGAGGAGAAGCTCCAGGGGCGGTGGGACACCGTGCTGCAAACAGGCCCTGTCCCTGGTCCTCCTCCTCGGTGGTTTTTGCGCTGGGGTCTCTGGTGGGAGAGACGCGGCTGGAGGCAGAGCTGGGCTCRCTGCTGAGGCCGGGCCACCTCCCTGTCCCTGTCCCTGGGACGGTGACACGTCCCTGCCGCCCCCGCAGCCCCCGCATGGCCCCAGGCGGCGGCTGCTGCCAGGGCTAATGGCACAAACCCATCGCTCTAACTCACTTATCCAGCCTGATGCCATCAAGGTGGCTGCGGCCGGCGCCGCTGCCACAGCCACCGCCGGGGGGGACACATGTMCCCAGGAGCCGCCACCCGCATCCCCAAGCCCCGCTGGGCCTGGAGGAGCCCGGCGGCCCCCGCGCTTGCGGTGAAAGGGATGGGGACACGCGCGTCCCACGGGCTGGGGACTGGCCATGGGGACAGGGCTGGGGAGGGAGGGATGGAGCCCCCTGCGYGGTGGCGGCGGCCGTGCTGGGCGGACCAGGAAGCGCCGGCGGCTCCGTGGCAGGTGAGGGAGGAGCGGCAGCTCCAGGGGCCCCGCTCCCCTCCCGCGTCCCCCTGCGCAGGTGTCGGTGCCGGCAGCGCCATGGAGGGCGCCGCGTCGCCGCCCGCCGGCCCCCGCGTGCTCTCGGCCGCCGTGGCCCTGTCGCAGGTCCTGGGCCTGGCGGCRCTGGCGGCCACAGGCGCCTGGCTGGGCGGCTACCGCGGCGGGCTGGCCTGGGCGGGCGCCCTGCGCCTCAACGTGCACCCGCTCTGCATGGTGCTGGCCATGGTCTTCCTGCAGGGCGACGGTGAGCGGCTGCGGCGGGGGGTGCGGGGGACGGGCAGCGGGACGTGGGGGACACGCGCCCTGTGCCCGCAGCTCTCCTGGCCTTCCGCGTGTTCCGCACGGAGCCCAAGCGCTCGGCCAAGGCGCTGCACGCRCTGCTGCACGGCGCCGCACTGCTCGTGGCCATCGTGGGTGAGCGCCCCGGCCCGCGCCCTGCCCGGCCGCCCGCCCCCCGCGCCGGGGGTGCCCGCTGGCTGTGATGTGTCCCCGCCGGCCGTGACGTCCCCGCTGTCCCCGTCCCCGGCAGGCGTGGCAGCCGTGTTCGAGGCGCACAGCGCCGGCGGCGTGGCGCACGCCTACAGCCTGCACGCCTGGTGCGGCCTGGCCGTCCTGGTGCTCTTCACGCTGCAGGTGAGGGCCTGGTGCCGTGGGGGCCACACGGGGCTCCCGCCGCCACCCGCCGTCCCCGCTGTCCCCCCCGCAGTGGCTCCTGGGCCTGGGGCTCTTCGTGTTCCCCGGCGCGGGCTGGGCGCTGCGCGGCCGCTACCGGCCCCTGCATGTGTTCGGCGGCGTGGCCCTGCTCGCGCTCTCCGTGGCCACGTCCCTGCTGGGCATCACCGAGATGCTGCTCTTCCACATCAGGTGGGTGCCCTGGTGTCGCCTCCCAACCTGCTGCTGCCACCAGGGGACACCGGGGACCGGCCCAGGGTTGGGGACACGGTGGGGGACACCACCCTGCCCGGCACCATGGGTGGGGAGCAGGGGAAGGGCACAGCCTGCTGGGGACCAAGCAGCTCCGGTCAAGGACACGAGTGGAAGGGGACGTTGGACCGCTGGTGGGGGGACAGGGCACATGGGATGGGACAGGACCCAGCTGCCCCGAGGACGCACYGGGCCTGCTCCCATTTCCCCCCAAGGGAGCAGTTCCCCTCGACCCCAAACCAGTGCCCATCCCACAGGCTCATGCAGGGGAGCAGGGCCGGTCGCAGGGGGACGCCCGGGGCAGGGCTGTCCCCCCAGCCCCACTCTCGCTCCTCCAGGGACACCTACAGCAAGTTCCCGGCCGAGGGCGTCCTGGCCAACACGCTGGGGCTGCTGCTCGTGGCCTTYGGGCTGCTCGTGGGCTACATCGTGACGCGCGAGGACTGGAGGCGCCCACCGCTGCCCGAGGAGCTCGCCCTCTCCATGGACTTCAAGACCCTGACGGAGGCCGAGAGCCCCGGCGGCAGCCAGTGACGGTGCCACAGGAGCCCCCGCGCCGCCCGGCTCCGCTCCCCGGCGCAGGGCCCCGTGGGGACCGCGGCATGGGGACCTGCTCGCGGGCCAGGGCGCAGCGCCGCCCGCACTTATCGCTCTGCCCCTTCGCAGCCTCACAGCCGCCGTCCCTGCCTGCCCGCCCGGGGAAGAGCCACTCCCTGCGCAGAAGCCGGGGCCGGATCCTTCCCTGCTCCACAGCAGCCTGGTCCTTCGGCCGGCAGCCCCGCTCCTGCCTCCCGGCCTTGGGGCTCCAATCTGCAAAGGGTGTTGGAGCCATCAGCGACTTTTTCCTGGAAAAAAAAGCATCATTTCTCCTTTCAGGGTGACGGGGGCTGAGTCCGCTGCGTTGCTGGAGGAGGAAACACTGTGATGTTCCCRAAATCACGCTCGCCTTGCTGGGGGAAGTCAGGGCCAGGCTGTCCCTGAGGGGCTGCCGCCAGGAGGCTGAACCTGCCGGGCGCCCCGGTCCCGCAGGACGCGCCTGGAAAAGCAAAGAAAACCACCCAAGCGCCAGGGCCCGTCTGCGTTTCCTCGTGCCCAAGYGCAGCTCGGATGTTGAGACTCGCCAGGGTTTTTCTACTCTCCTTTTTAACCTGTCGTGCCCAGGCGGTCAGGGCTGCGGCTCGATGCAAGGAGGGGGCTCCGCGACGGGACTGCCTTAATGCCTGCCACATCCCGTGCCGTGCCGCGTGCTGTTCGCTTGCTGTAGTTCCCGGCATAATAAATATCTGCAGCTCAACTCGACCCTGCTCTGCTCTGTGTGCCCCAGCAACACTTGCAAAACACCCCAAACCGCGGGATTCCCTCCCCTGCATGCAGCCAGCGCGCCGCTCGGCCTCACCTGCAGTTCATGCAGAGCTGCTGTTTGAGACGGGCTGGTCTCCTCTGGGCTCGCTTAGAAAAAAAAATGATCCCAAAAGGAAAAGGGATTTGCCCCTTCTCATCCCCAAGTCCCCACGCTCAGTGGCCACCCCATCCCAGCGGGATGCGTGGCAGCATCTCTGCACATCCCAAGGGATAGTGGCCCTGGAGCTGCCGCAGGGGTAAGAAGGCCTCTCCGGATTCGGTGTCCAAGTGTTAACCATTTATAAATAAGTACATTTTTTGTTTTTGTTTTCATACATACAGTTTTCATTGTACAGATTACAATCTGTATACAGTGGGGCGGGGGGAAATGCATTCTTTTTGGAACTTTTCACATCTATCTCACAGCTCACATGTACAGACAAGAAAACTCTGCTCAAGCAAATACAGCAAAGGAAAAAAAAAGAATTTTGTCTCCTTTCCTTATACACGAGAGGCGAAGGCCTTGGCTGGGCGCAGGGGCCGCTCTTCCCGCCGCGCGACGTCACGACCGYGTGGTGCTCGATATATCAGTAGAGAGAACAGAACATGCATTGAATAATATACTGTACAGAGAAAAGTCCTTTACATCGGAGTTATAGAAAAGCTAAAGGAAAAGTTTTAAAGGTCTTCCCAGCAAGTGTCTTGGAGGGTGGCCACCAGGCAGGGGGACGACTCACAGAGTGGGGAGTGCTGCACACACCGACACGGGTCCTCGTGGACGTGAAGACAGGACGGACAGGACGTCGGGAGGCGACACCATGGCAGAGGAGAGGCCGGGCAGCGACGATCCCGCAGCACCGGCAGAGTCCACGGGAGGCTCGGGAACGAGCGGCGCTGCTCGGAGCGCCGTGGCGGCTGCAAGCGCAGGCGGCCGCATCCCTGCGCCCGAGGCTTTCTCCACCCTTGCCTTGCCTTGCCTTGCCCGCAGCCAGAGTCCTTGYAGGTTGCCGAGGAAAGGATGCGGTGGAGGAGCCGGCCGCCCTCGGAGGCCTYGGGCGCCTTTCCCTGCGTTGGCCGCGGCTGCCGTCGGGAGCGGGGACGCCGAGCGGATCGTGCTAAATGGTTGAGCCCTTAGTGGTTTGTGGTAGAAAAAAAGAGTTGGAACACCAAAATCCAGCAACTATCCAAATGGCACCGAGAGGGAAAGACGACAACAGAAATCGGGCCGAGCGGCTCCCGCCATTGTGCTCGTGTCCCCGGGCTGCCCGGCGCACTGCGGYGCCCCGACTCATGCCGCTTACCCCGAGCACTCCACTCCACCACGCAGCCCGGGAGCCCTCGCGCTCCGTCGGGAATCGCTCCAATTCCCCATGGATTCATCCCTCTGCCAGTGGAGCCCCAAGGCCCCCGCATCCAGCATAGTTGGCGCGTGGGCTTGAGCGCTGCTCAGACCCTGGGGACACCGCTGTCCTTGCGCTGGTGGGGGGCCAAGCTGGGGGCAGTATCTGGCAGCCCCCCGGCGCTGCATGGAGGCACCTGGCCATGGTTGCACTCACTAAGCAGTTTTCTTTACAGCCGTGAAGGAAAAGATTAAAACAAAAAAAAACAAAACAAAACAAAAAAAAAAAAAAAAAAAAAAAAAGAGGAGAAATGGAAAAGATCTGGGGGCTCCGCTGAGCCCTGCTGCAGCCCCTTGTGCTCCGAGAGCCACCAAAGTCCCTTTCCAAAGCCGCTCCTAACCCAACTGGCCCTACTGCCGGGTCCTGGGGATCCTTCCAGCCCGGGGGAGAAATGAGGAGCTCGGGTGGCACGATGCCGGGAGAGCCGAGCCCCGGCACGGGATGCGGGGGACATCTGCTGGGGGCCTGCTAAAATGYACCTGAACTCAGCACCTGATAAAACGCACCTGAACTCAGTACCCGCTAAACTGCACCTGAACTCGGCACCTGCTAAAACGCACCTGAACTCGGCACGTCGGCTGAGCTGGGTCCAAGGCAGCGCCCACGGTGGGATCCAAGCAGCTCTGCCAGGGACCCTCCTTCCCGATCGGCCACAATAGGGCCTCGGCTCTCCCTAAGAAAAATGCTGGGGAAGCGCTTTAAAAATCACTGCAAATAACTCTGTGGTTAAAAATTGCTCCATCAGTTGATGCTTATATACAGGARTCAGTTTTTGTGCTATAAACGTGGTGATTCATTGTTTTCATTCATCTCTTTTTTCCCTTTTTCCTTTTTTTTTTTTTTTGAAAAAATACACTAAGCGACAAGAGCTGCTTTGCTATTTTCTAATGAAGACACTACTCACGCTTAAATATCCAGTATTTATCATAGGAACAAATCCAAACAGTAAAGTGCACCCATGTACAGAGAGAACGGATGGAAAACTGTCAGTGCAAGAACCCTGTGAAAATGCCGCACGTGGGACCGTGAACATATCCGCCCTGCCCGCTGCAGTGCTTAGGTGCTGCTTCCTCTTGGCATGGGCATAMAGGGGGAGTTTGGAGGTGATCTGTTTCCCTTGGGACACCAAACCCAAAGCCACGGGCAGGGGACAATTTTGCTGTGGGCAGGGGACGTTTCTGCAGGGCAGCAAAGCCCAGGCAGCTCTCGCTGGCTTCTACACCTCCAGGCTGCAGCTTGAGCCTATAAGACAAGACCGGGGCTGAACTGGGTTGTTTTGGCTTTTCAAAGCAGCAGCTAAAGGCGGAAAAAGCCACTGATACCTTCAGGAAAGCGGGGGGACAGGAGGCTCGGCGCAGACGTCGCTGCTGCTCCGCACCACGGACAGGCTGACACAGAACACGCTACTGGAAAAAGAGAGCAAGCCCCAAAAAGCCATCACGTCCTTTTCGAGGAGAGACAGCACATGCACCTGCCTGGCTCCCTGCAGCCGTCGAGCCTGAAGTTACCGCCGCTTTCCAACCTGCGTTGCACATCCCTGCAACGAAGCTGAGGGTCAGGACGGTGTCGCACCGCAAGAAAGCAACCGCCGACCCCGGTACAAGCACCAGCCTGGGGAAACACAGAAAGAGAGCCAAAGGGGCACGGGCGTCTCCGAGGCCCACGGAAGCCAAACGGTCCCCATGACCCACGGGCGCCTCCGAGGTGTCCCCGAAACACGAGCCTCCGTCACGCCAGGGTTACGCGTGTCCCGGTCCCAGCGAATCAGGCAGCGGGATCGCAACAAGAGGAGCCAAAAGAAAGCCAAAGAAAGCAGGAGAAAAAGCTCAACCAAAGCCAGGGGCTGCCTAGAGCTCCAGCCAAAGCCTTCGCTGGTGTAAATGAACGCAGCTGCGCTGGCGTCCCATGGGGCCGGACCCTTCCACTTGGCTTGGCAGGTTTTCCATCTACTCCTAGATTCACGTAGCCCTTGGAAACACTGGGATATTGCTCCTCTCGCTCTTAATAAGGTCGCATAGGAAGGAGATTCAGCACTGGGCAACAGGCACTGTTTTGCTTTAAAACAAGCTACAGGATGAACGCTCTGCCCCTCCATGCCCGGCTCGTAGCATTGTTGGCCCTTGGCAATGGAAAAAGGCAGACTGCACAACAGCAAGCTGAGAGGAACCCAAGCATCCGTAGAGAAAGTCCCACCGCCCTCCTGTAAAATCCCAGGGAATAATGGGGAAAGATCCGTACAAAGGGTTTCAAAAGGGTCCTCTGCTTTTCATGCTGCCTCGACGTGATTAGCTTAGAAAAAAAAGGAAAAACCAGCAACAACAAAAAAGACAAACCCAAGAAACGAATTGCATAAATAAATTATAAATATCTCTTTTTTTTAACTACAGGTCCTTAAAGAGAAAAACAGTGTCTCTAACGTCTCCAGGTGAGGAACATGGCCATTGCTTCCCAGAATTTCAGGAACAGATCTTGCAGCTCTAAGGACACAGCCACGCACGGGCCTGGCAAGGACACGAGCTCTGCTAACGCGTCTGCTTGGACCCTTCCTGTCTCACAACACGTTAGGCATCCCCATCCAAAAAAAAAAMCCCAAACTTCCTAAATTGCAGTTTTCTTCCTCAAATACAATTCCCTATTCGGATTTCTTTTTCCTTGCAAGCAAAACAATAAAAAAAAAGGGAGTGAAAAGGACAACGCCAAGGTTACAGCATGCTGGTGGAAGCGCGTTGCTGCGTGGGATCCCGGTTTGCGGAACGCACGGGCGGCTGCCGGCCCCATCCCTTTGATGCCCAACACGCACAGGAAGGGGCA